GATTTTGTGCAGCCAACGAGTCCGAAATAGTACGATTATACCTCCCCATTTTCCCGTTGGCACACGGAGAAGTAGTTGCGTAAAACATGTTTTACTTCTACATCTTTTGAATGCCAAGAAACTTTACTAGGTACCTCTTAAATTTCTATATGTCTACCATTCAATTGAATATCCAAGATTGCTACACATAGGAAATGAAACTATTTTTCCGGATTTAAATCTTTATATTTGTTTTTCAAACAAACCGACGTTTCGGGCCCTTTACAGGTCCCATGGTATCCCAAATATACGCGATTTAAATCCGGAAAAATAGTTTTATTTCCTAGATATGTGAGAAATTCGCAATCCTTGGGCCCGAGTGGGATCTAGAGCCCAGGCCCATTGCGAGAGGAGGCATGTGTTAAGCGGTGGGACTATATATAGACTAACTATTATTATTACATACCGAGAAATGAAACTGTTGTCCCTTTTTACTAAGAGATCAAAGTAGTAATTGAGCTTTCTTACTTGTCATTCCATAGTATCCTGTGTTAAACGGCGATTAGAATGGGACGTGTTACACAGATTGCACGTATTGCATGATAAAAAGAAACGTGAAGTGCTTATGTAAATTTGCTATGGGAATGCCAAGACGCTGCTAAGACGTTGTGGGAAATAAGGGGCATGTTTATTTTGACAATTAATTGACATCATGAGAAATCGGATAATTAAATACAAAATATTTGGGGCGGTATTTTTTATTTACAATAACAAATACATTAAAGATACCGCACCATATTTATTATCGCTTATTTGACTTATCTATTGTTTATTTTCGTACTACTCAAGATAACACATACATTACTCATGATTTAAAATTCCCATTGGGGAAGCAGAGGTCAACAAGACGTTATGACCAACTTCATTTTGAAGCTTGTAAAACTATATTATATGTATCTTTGCAATGGAGCCAACAATTTACCATGATTTACCGAAAGGTTATATATTATATATTATTTATAGGCTATATATTATTAAGGTCTGAAAAAACCTTGTATTATTTAAAAAATAATTAAACAGCTTATTGACTAATAAAATTTACTATAGTGTCCGAATTTTTAAATGACAAATCCCTAACTTCATTGTCAGATTTTTGATATTTATATTTCTTTTTTGACGTTACTAGTTTTGTTATTTTGACATTTAATTATATTAAAAATATTTTAATTTAAATTGACTCATATAACTAGAAATGCGCCTAAATTGCTGACCGACTTATTAAATCCATGTGTGCTCATGTGATATTAGAAAAAATAACATGTTATAT